ACATGGCTATTCCAACAAGCAGGACTGGCCTAGGGTAATTTTTAGAGGGGTTTTAATTATATTTTAAATTAGACAATATTTAAATATCTCTTTTTAATTAATTTTAATTCTGTGATTGCTGTTGGTGTTTTTTAATCGATTGTCAGCCGCCCTGAGTCCGCAAGGAGAAGGGCGGGATATAAATTTAAATAATAAATAATAAATATTAAATAATAAACTAACCTGACTCTGTCAGCAAACTCTGAGATTGGGTGGCTTATAAAACTTGCACCAAATATGTGGTATTTTAATTATTTTTGTTTCCTCAGTGTGGTGCATTGTTCTTGCATTATTATTATTGGTCTAGGTTTGGTTTTATATATTTTTATATTTTTGTATGTCACCCTGAGTTGCTTTGTAGTTAGCTGGCTTATTAATTGAAATGATAATGATAATACTGTGCAAATGCTGATTGGAAGGCAGGGGCTAGCTTGATGTCTGAGGCAAGGAATGAATGTTTGTCAAAGGAAGTGAAAATGGCTGAGAACAAACTTCTGCCCACTTTGTTAAATGAATGTGGGAATTGTATATGTCAGGAAAAGCATAAAAGTATTGAATGTGGTACCAATAAGTTAACCGCATATATAATATATTTATAGTGACCATATGCCCTTTATTATAAAGGATGGTCCTTTGTTTCAGAAATCTGTTCTTTAGATTAATTTGATTTAAATATTTTCTTGATTTCGCTCTTAAATTTTCCTTTGTAAAACCAAGTTATAAACCAAAAAATTAATTTTCTTTATACTTATACTCTTTCAGATTTACCCTTTTTTCAGGATTGTCTTTTATTTTTTCCAAGAAAATATAGTCATGTAAATATGTCTGACCCAGTTCAATAATGACAGCACTTAAATTAGACTTTTCAAATAAAGGATAGTTTGAATGGAAATAATTATTAGAAACAGCTCCCATTTTCTTCTTGAATTTAGATAGGAGGATGTATTGAGCCGCATTTTGTTTAAGATGTTGGTGAGTTATATTGTTCTACTTTTATGTAAGATAATTTTGGTTGGCCCCAGTACTTCAAGTACCTGAGGAAGTCAGTGAAGTTGGGAAAAAGCAAAGTAAAGTTCTTCCTTCTCTTTGCTCTTAGAAGAGAGGGAAACTCAGTGCTTCTCAAGCCTTTCTGAATCATTTTCCTGGAAATCGTCCAGTCCAGTGAAATCCCAACTTTTTCCCAATTAATAGGGACTGTTAATTTATAAGATTGTACATATAATATTGTAAAAGTCTGCTTCTCTTCTCCCCTTTTTTGTAGATACCTGTTTCAACTTTTCCTCAATTTACTGTAAAAATCCAACGTATTGGACTCAAGGCTTTGTCTCACTGCAATCTAGCATTGATAGTGCACTTATTGAAGTAAGTAAGTGTTGAAAGAAAAATCTTCAGGTTCAGTCCAAGCTGAAAAAACAAAATGGAAGCTGTTTGGAAAGAAGGTTGTTGTTTATTTAGTTGTCAGAAACTTTAGTGACACAGCATGTATGTGGGGTGGCTGACAAAATGGAGCTGGGAGTGGTGGGTTTTTATACTTTCTTAGGCTTTTGTGTTTGGAGTTGTTCCTGTTCCTGTGGCATTGTATTTGAGGCTCTTCTTGTTCCTGTGCAATGAACTTTGACCTGAGCTTCAGTGTGCCCTTTTGGTATTCTAATGGGGGTGGGGTAATCCTCCTAAAGATCATGTTCTTTGGAGTTTTTGTTTTTCTAATCCCATCAGCTCAAACCTTCTCTGGGGCTATAGCTGAAGGCGTTTTGCTTATGAATAAATAGCCCAGTCTTTCTGAATAGGATTATCAAATCTGCATTTCTACAGAGCTGGCTTGCCGAGTTTCTGCTTGGGGAGAGGGAGAAGTTTCTGCCTTTTAACATTTTCTCCCATTATTCCTTTGGGAATATAATATTCTGCTCTTTTAATATCCCCAAAAATATTTCCTTCTTGGGGTGTGTGTGCTAATTTCCTACAAAAGTAAGTCTTTTATCTGTAGCAGTGGCAGCCACATTTTCTCAGTTTTATTTGAATGACTCCTCTATTCTTTTATTTTGTCTGCGACTCTTGGGTATGTCCATGTTATGTTGAAATAATTGCGATCACCAAGAGGGGATAAAATATTTATAAGCAGTTAAAAAGTTTAAAAACAATATATATATGTAGGTCTTTAGTTATTCGGGTTTTCTCCCGCGTAGAATTAGAAATGTCTTGACGACGTTTCGACGAAGTCACATTCGTCATCTTCAGGCTGGTGTCTTCAGCTTCGTGCTTCTGGGTGTAGTGTGTGTGATCGCAGCTGTTTCTTCCTTTTAACTGCCAGTGGGGTTTGAGCTGATTGGGTGGAAGCTTGGCTGTGTTCTGATTGGGTGGAGGTGTGTTCTGATTGGTTAAGGAGCTTGGCTGTGCTCTGATTGGATGGGGGGTTGGCTGTGCTCTGATTGGATGGGGAAGTGTTCTGTTTGGGTGGGGGCTTTGTTGTGCTCAGGTTAGTTTGAGTTGCAGGGGGATTTGAGATGGTGAGCTTCGTTGCTGTTGTTTGGCTTCATGTTCGTGGTCGTGCCACATCTTTATGGTGGGTGTCACTTTGCTTCATGTATGGATCAAGCATCATCGCTGAAGCAGTGCTGCAGGATCTAGAATGTGTTGTCATGGCTGATTATCAACCCAGTTTTTGGGTTAGGTATGTGGACGACACCTTTGCGGTCATCAAGCGATGTGATACCACCAAATTCTTACAGAAACGGAATTCATTCCATCCAGACATCCAATTTACAGCAGAAGAGGAGGACAACAACACCTTACCCTTCCTGGATGTCTTGGTCCATCGCCTTCCAGATGGCAACCTATCAACCACCGTCTATCGCAAAGCCACTCACACCGATAGAATTCTCCACTACCAAAGTAATCATCCTGTATCGCATAAAATCAGCTGTTTAAGAACTTTATTCAAAAGAATCAAGACCCACTGCAGCACAGAAACAGCAAA